ACAGAACGTCTCCACTGCCAAGCCCTGCGCGCCCTTCCTGGAAGGTGGATCTGCGTAAGTGGCTCATCGGGGCTCTGGAAGAACACGGTACCGGTGGGCCCTCCGCTGAAATTACAGACCTTCGGTTGACGGGTGACGATCGACTGATGATTGGGACCACTACGGGTCAGCTCCTTGTTTGCCAGATTTTTCGGTCTCCGATGCAACTTTCAGTTCTTTACTTGGCGCCGCCACCGTCCTTACTCACCTCCCTACCGGCTCCGTCGACAGGAAAGCCTTATGCCGCTCTGGGCGTCACCTGCATGGACAACTCCGCAAACTGTTTAGCCACCATCTGGAATCCCACCAGCCATTGCCAGGACGCCTTGTCTCTGCCGTCTGATTCCCATCCATCTGTTGTGGATAACCTCGGTTCGGAGATGGCCGATGACACAAACATCAGATCACTTGGTAGGTCTAATTAACATTTCGAAAAAAATGCCACATAGTTGACCAGAAGGTAATGCTAATTTTTCCTCTTTTCATTTATTTAAGTGGTGATTTACTCGAGGAAGAAGCTCATCGGAGAAGCTGTCAGTTCTCGCAAACTCACACGGATAGCGGCGATTGCAGGTCTCGTGGCCGTACTAAATGAAGATGGAGAGGTCTACATTTGGTGCGTTATCCTTCGCAATTCATTTGGCTTAATGTATTGGGCAGGCCGCAAATCCAACTATATGCCTTCCCTAAACGACCCTCCGAGACTCCTATTTCCGCACTAACATTGCGGGCAAAGACAAGAGAGCTTGGGATGGTCATTTCTGGCCCATTAGCCATCATCAGCCAGTCATACCCAATCCCAAGCGGTGCACCATCCGGGGCCTCGCGACCTCTTAATCCAAAATCCAACGCTCTAACCATTGAGCCTCAGGTGGTGCCCTACCTGGGGCTAGGTTTCACTGGCTAATGACGGCTAATGACCGTTCCAGTTTCCCTTGTCTTTCACGGTAGTCTTCATCTGTCTAGACTACTAGCCAGGAGGACTAGCAGAACAGGACGCGTGAGTTGCGCAACCAATCGGTGACCGATCACCAACAGACTGCGATTTCCTTTAGGATAGTTTTGGACTTTACAAGTCTCAAGGATGTTTTATCATTTTTAAAAGGCCGCTTAAAAGTGTCCGCTGTCAAATAAAATGAATTTTGTTTATCATAACACAGGGCGAACTCCGCCATTTTATCCGTACGGTGCAATGACACAGTCATGCATGATTAGTATACTATGGAAACACTGAGAAATGAGACCCAAGGCAGGGCGGGACAGGGGAGTTTCGTTAGGGGTTGGGGAACGTTCATCAACTAGTGTCAATATCTCCCGACCTAAACCGGCAAGACAACGAACTGGTCGCTCAATAATTAGGGCGTTAGGCTCTGATCAAAAGGTCGCGAGTTCGAGCCTCGAGTGGTTCACCACTTGGGGCTGGGTATGACTGCCTGACGACGGCGAATGAGCCAGAAACGGTCATCCCGGTCTCCCTTGTCTTTACTGGCAATAATAGCTGTCTAAGAATACGAGCCACCGCGGTCGCTGTCAGGGCCCGAGAAACGAGACCCAAGGCAGAGCGGGACAAGTGAGTCCCGTTAGCGCTCAGTGAACGTTCATCAGCGACGGAGAAAACTATCTGTTTGCTCACACTGAAAAGTTAGTTACCTGAAACTACCAGTAAAGACATAAAACGACAAATATGCATTATTTATATGTTGTCTATGTGGGCATTCCTTTGGCCGGTGCAACCTATCTTAAGGGCTTCCCTCAGGGTTGAGGCGAGCGCTGTCTGAAGAACTATCTTCAACGACTTACCTGCATAGAACCCTCATAGAAAATCCTACCGGATGGACGACACAATGCACTAATTTTCCTAAATAAGAACATTACTTGTTTGTTATTTTGTTTATCTGGAATGACTGACTTTCCTATCAGCTAAGATACTCAAGCGCATAAATTTCGTCACGTTAATTAAATACTCACTATACCCTTTGTCGTCTCAATGGTACTTGCAGTGTAACTACTTATGACTGATAAGAAATTATTTCACGATATTACTCCTTGGAACTACACCTATTTGCACTCTCATGATTGCATACGCAGTGCACCGATTCGAAAAAACACAGTCATGTTGACGATTCGGTAGGATCCTAGTTTGGGTCCCAGATCAGCACGCAAAAGCCCCATCCTTCTGTAATACAGGACAGGGTGTGATAATGAGTATACAGTCTGGGCAATGCAAAGGGAAGGAGATATAAATAAAAAATAAAGTTTATAAAGGTAGAAAAAACAAGAATAATTATTTACATAATATAATGCATATATTATATAATATATGTAATATATTATATGATATAATTTTTGTCAACAAAAGAGCGCGCCATACTTAAAAAGTGCAACTATGCAAATATTGGGAACTAACTAAATTAAAAAAATAACTAACCAAAACTAAAATGAACTAACTAAAGAAACAAACTAAAGTAAGGTAAACTCATTGAACCAAAAAATAATCTATAAGTGAAATGAAAAGAGCAAACATAATAATGAATTGAAAACTAAACTTAAATATAAATAAGTTAAGTAAACCAAATAAAATAAACTAACGTAAAGTTGTCGCGCGTGTCAATTGAAGATGTGCACGGCGCTTCGCGGGACCGCAAGTTGGACCTCAGGTAAATTGACATAGACGACCACCTAACCAGCAATTTTTTTCAGGAATATCAAGAAAACTAATAAACTATAAATCATAAGTAAGTAAAAAATGTCGAAATTTGTCACAGCCAATAAACTATAAGTGAATATAAAATGTAAGTGAATTTTCTGTGTTTATTTATGGTGCGCTATTTTATTGTGGAAACATCAGATTATTTAAACATTTACTGGGACCTAAAATAGATTCATATGCCTTTCCTTTTAGAGTAATTAAACAGTTTGCCAGTGCTGTTTGCTGTGTGTTGGCGTTATTTTTCGGTAAGAGTGACTTATCTGACCTCCTAAAAGGGACACGAGCATAGGAAGCCTCGCCTAAGTAATTACGGGGAGAGGGGTAAATATTCCCGTATGCTAACCCTAACACTAGTTCTAACATCAACCGAAACCGTCGCCCCAATTTTTAGCCGCGACATCCTGAACCTAATCCTGACCATGAAACCAACCCTTATTTTCCCTGGAATTTGACGCCAGCGCACTTATATTACGGACAGTTCCTGTTCCAAGGTCCTGCTTAGGGGGCCATACAAGTCATCCTTACGTTTTGACATTGTGTTTTCGGGTCTTGAACTTGCCTCAATGTCATTTCTACCCACCTTCCCTTCTCTGCAGTCATATCCACCGACTACTTGCATCCCCCCGGTCTTCGTTTTGTCTGCGTCAATCTGCCGGGCTGGCTGCCCGCTCACCGACAGTCTGGACCCGTGTGGCTATTGAAGACACTGTCTACGCCGTGACAACAACCTTTCCAGAGTCCTTCGTTGCGTCGGATTCGCCGCGCTCAGAGCTCTTCAGTTTGGACTCCTTTGCCCAGGCGGATGCTGCCCTGCCTGGAATAGTCCTCCTAACGCGTCCTGGAGGTAGGCTCGCCACTACTACCCTTATACCCTCTCTTACAGGACCGTCTTATAAGCGTATTGTACCGACTAGCGAAGTGTATTCTTTTC